TGAGGTACTGAGGTTATTGATAGAACTGAGAAATGCTAATTTTTCCTTCAGCTAATTTTAGTTTTTAATTTTATTTAAATTTTAATGGTACCGAAGAAATTTAGAATCCCCTCATTTTTTCATTTTTGGAGTTTGTTTTAGTCTAACAAATTTATGTGTGTTTTATTGTGTTTTAGTCTTTGGATTCTCTAGAATCTCCGCTATCTTAACAATTTCATTGTCTTTTACCCTTTGGATGCATTAGAAATTGAGAACAGTCAAGCGAATTTACTTCATATTGCTGTCCGTAACTCTGTCTACGGAATGCAGTGGTTTCATGTTTAAGATTAAACTGCATCATGATTTGTGAATTTGGTTTGAAAAGATCAAAGGGGTGGAGCCTACAAATCGCCAAATCGGCCACTCACCTTCAATCGGCTCCGGTGATGATGATGATATCCTTTGGCTTCCAATGTTTGACCTCTATAGCTTCTGATGCTGATCTTATAACCAGCCTCGTGCAAAGAGACAATGAGCAATGGCATGCAGTAGGCGGCATGTAATGTAAGTCAACCTCTTAGCTCACATCGTTTGGTTATAACTTTGTTTCCATTGAATTTATTTTTAGAAGTTTAGGAATATTGACTTTTCAATATGTTTAATCTCTTTGCTTACACACAATAATAAGATACATATTAATGAATGTTATGCATTGTTGTTCTTCACGTCTGCTTTCCAGAAACTCTTACGAGATGATTCCAAAACTTATTTTTCACTCTTTGTTTTTTAGAATTGGTACCGGAAACATTTGGGAAGGATTAGATTGTTCACAAATTATGTTTTCAAGTGAATTAAAATGTTACCCAATGATTTTTGTAACTTCTTGATTCTAGGCACTTAAATTGCTTGTTCATTTGGGACTCATAAGGTTAATGTTAAGGAAGTGTTGGTATCCTTTTCTCATCTTCCTGAATCACACTTTCCTCTATTACAATTTGAAGGGTGAGGTGAATAGCACTCCCAGAGGTTAGGTTGATGGATTTCTACTGCTAGGCATCTCTCCTTCAATCCTTGAATTTTTCGCAGCAAAAGAAAGTGCCTAAGGTTTGAATTCAACATTATACCAAGTAGAAATTTAAGTACCAACATGGTTTATGACAAACCCATTTGTGATACAATAAAAATCAAGGGAGAACCTCGACAACTTGATTAGTATGTAACCGAAAAGGCCAAAAGCTAACAAAAATGTTCCTTTTTCCTTGGTGCTCTCCACATTTGTTAGCACACATCTATAAATTTGAAGATAGAAAAATGTTTATTAAAGCTAATCTCTTAGCAGAGCCACGTTAATCTTAGATCTGCCGTCATAATTATTGCCAAATTATACTGTCATGTTTATTTCTCAGTATTGTAAGTTTACAATAATATACATGTATTTTCGATAAGCATACATGTATGAACTATTAAAGTAAATTAGCCAGTCACGTTTACTTCTCGATTTTTTGGCATATTTTTTTGATTTGGACTCATTTGTTTGGATCCACTAAAATACTATTAAGAGCATGCTTCTCACTTCATTCCCACCTGCTCCTCCTCCAAACTGATTCTCCAATAAGTCTCCAAGGAAGAATCCTCAAATCCTTCATCCATGGCAGACCCTAGAAGGATCTATGATATCTTGCAGAGGCCTGCGATGAGTTCATCTTCGCTGTTTCCCAAGCCGGAAATCACCTGGAGGAGGCTTTGAAGCCAGAAGAAAGACGCATTCGTCCCATCCAACTCCTCCTCACCTGCGCGAAGCATGCTTCTTCCGGCAACGTTAACAAACCTAACGATTGCCTCAGTCAGATATCTCTGCTCGCTTCCATCTCCGGCGACCCCAAGCAGCGCCTCGCCGCCCGGTTTGCCTCCGCGCTCACTGTCCGCCTGGTCAAACGGTGGCCTGGCCTGTACAAGGCCCCGAACTCGGCCCATCAATGGCCCAAAAGAGAATCGGGTAGGGCCAAGCCTCTGTTTTCACAAGCCCTGCCTTGTCTCGCAGTCGCCTACGGCATCATCACCCGAACATGGCTACAAACCATGGCGGAAGAGCAAACGATCCATGCCGTCGATTTGGGTTCCGGCGACGCCAATTTCTGGATTCCTCTACTCCGGAGCTTTTCCCGATTGCCTAACGGCACTCCTCATTTGAAGGTCACCTGCGTGAACAATAACAAAATCGCCCTGGAAAATCTTGGACAGAGACTTGTAAAAGAGGCAGGATCACTAGACATGCCCTTCCAATTCAATCCCATAAGCCTCAAGTTAACAGACCTCAACACAGAGATGCTCAAGGTAAGAACAGGGGAAGCATTGGCTTTAATTTCAGTACTGACTCTTCACGAATTGCTGGCCGAGGACGACAGAGTCGACGCCCATTTCAGCACTGGAAAGGATACCCATAGTTCCATCGTCAAATATCACTGGAAAATGGATCAATTTCTATCAACTATTCGATCAGCGTCACCCAAAGTTTTCTTCCTAGTAGAACAAGAAGCGGATCACAATCAGACCCGATTAGTGGACCGATTCGTTGAGGGTCTGCATTATTACAGCGCGGTGTTTGACTCCATAGACGCTACCTTGGGAGGCTTGGCCAGCGGCGGAGGCGAGGAGAGGGTGGTCTTGGAGGAGATGTTTGGGAGGGAGATAGAGAATATAGTGGCATGCGAAGGGGTGGAGAGGGAGGAAAGGCATGAGAGGTATTGGAGGTGGATGGTTCGGTTGGGACAAGTCGGCTTCAAGCCGGTTCGGATGTGGTTGGACGCCATGGAAGACATGAAGAAGATGGTGGAGGCTTGCGGAAGAGAGGGGTACAAGATTGTGAATGAGAAGGCGAGTTTGATGATTTGTTGGCATGATAGACCCCTCTATGCTGTTTCTGCATGGACTTATTAGAATTTTTTTTTTCTAAATCATTTTTCTTTAGAAAATTTGTGAAATAGATGGTTTTTATTTTTTTTATTTTTTTTGATAAAGTAGGAAATGTTCAGTTACTATTATAAGTAGGTTAAGCACAATTGCTCAAAATAAAAGTATTTTTTTCATGTCTAATTTAATAGATAAAATTTGATATAATAATTTTATATAGTAAATAGATGATAATTGAAAAAAAATTGTATGTAATTTATCTTGAATATTTTTATTTGGATTAAATTTTTTTAATTATCATTTATTTGATATATAAAATTATTAAATTAATTTATATAGAGTTAAGGAATTGAAACAACTAAAAAAAATAAAAAAGAGAACAATTTTGTGCTGACAATTCCTTAATAATCCATTTTATAAACTTGAAACCTAGGAACCAACATGAAGGTTAAGGTTAGATATCGCCCAAAAAAATGAGCATTTTTCTTTTAACAAAGCTCACTTGCATCATATAATTTGAATTAAAAAATTTCAAGTTTATTGGCAATTTAAAATAAAAAATATATATTTAAATAAAACCATCCACACTCATACACATCTCAACTAAGAAAATAACTTTGGAAAAAAGAAAAAAGGCTAAGAAATTTGCATTACGAAATAAATCTAAGTTTCCCTTTTCTTTTGAGCGTTTCAAAATTAAACTTTGATCAATAATTTTGATAGTAAATACATGAAAGAATTGCTTATTTAAAAAAAGTTTGTATACTCACATAAGTTAAGATATAATAAACGTATTATTCTATAATTAATTTACATAAAAATATAAAAATTGATATTTATTTTAATATTATTATAATTTTAATCAATTAGTTTCTTAAATTAGAGTCAATATTTTTTTTATATAAATTGATTATAAAAAAAA